TTTTGTGTTAGACCATAGCTTGGCTATATAGGTGATTAACACTGTAAATATGTACTCTCCAGAGAAAAAAATATGGTTCACAATAAAGGGATTTGCTATGTATGACTTGTATATCTAGTCGAACAAACTGTGAGCAGCCTTTGGTGTTTATATTTTTCTGCAACTCGTTGACTTATAATATCAATTACGAGTGGTGCTAATGAGATGTTATGGTTAATTCTCCCATTATTGGCTAATTCAACTTCTTAAATTGTTAAAGCTTATTCTGGAGTAACATGCCTTATAAACCACTTCATCACCCTTCCATTTGCACGGTATAGCAGGTATGGCCATCAGGTCTGTCATCCTCAAGTTTCTCTCCTTCATGTTCTTAGTTCGTCTCTTGATTACAATCAGCTGAGATATGTCCATGAATTATAATTATTCTACCTAACTGATGCAACATGTATTTCCGTGTTCTGTAATTCTCTTGACCGTTTATGTGCTCCATCTACTTTATTCATCTTTTGGTGCCTACATATACTTGAAGGAAAATGAAGAGATTCTTCCTAAGTATAAGACTAATACTATATCAAGAACAGGCAAATAACTTCTCTTCCACTGTGTCTTTTCTCTGATTGATACAGATTCCTTGCGAAAATCACTGTCTATAACACTTATCAAAGCACTACTTTTCTGTAGTGCAAAATAGTGTTATTTTTTGTGAAGGAATATACATTTAGTGTGTTTGAAACATAGGATGATGAGCTGGTGAACAAGGAATAGTAGAGGATGATAAAGTTGGAAAGCATTATAATATTTTGGCTAAATACCTAGATAGCCCCTTAAACTTGGCACGATTTGTAAGTTAGACACTTAACTTAGCAAGTGACCAGACAGACACCTCTACTTGACAGAAGTGTGTCTAAATGAACACATCACCGTACCACTACTTATTCATCTCCTGGTGCCTAGTGCCTACCTATAATTGAAGGACAATGAAGAGATTCTCAAGTATATGAGACTAAAAATTTCATCAAGAACAAGCAAAGAACTTATTGCAGTGTGTCTTGTCTCTGATTGATACAGACTCCTGATAGGATGTCGCAAAAACTACTTTTCTTTAGTGCAACATTGCATTATTTTTTTGTTAGGAATACCTTTAGTGTATATGAAACATAGGATAATAAATTGGTGAACAAGGAATACTATAGGATGATAAAGTTGGAAAAGATTATGCTATTTTTCACAATCCTTTTAGTTTTGAGTTCTCATTACAATACAGTTTGGCCCTGGAATAATCAAGGACTGCACCTTGCTTTGAGATGGGGGCTAAAATATTACTCTCTCTGTCCCAATTTGTGTTTCATACTTCTCTTTTTTAGTTTGTTCCAAAAAGAATGCCATACTTCCTTAATTAGAAACAATTTAACTTTAAACTTGTCATTTTACTCTTAAAGTGATTAGTAATAGTCACACAAATGTTTATGGCTTGTTTTGGACTACAAGTTTCTAAAGTCCTTTCTTTCTTTAAACGCCGTAACCAGTCACACAATACCACCTAAATTAGGACCCATGGAGTATCAAATTTGATTGGGAATTCCTAATGTCTTTTTGAAGCTCAGAAGAAAAGAAATCAATAGTAGCCATTTATTGTGGAAGTTGGGTATTAGCATGTTCTGTGGTCCAGTGACAGGCTTCCTCCACTTTCACAATTCATAGACTCTGCTACTTTGAAGCGTAGTGACCTTTTGGTAAGATATGGTTCTTGCACTTTGAGTAGCTATATGATTAAAGAATATGGCTTTTAGTGCTTGCATTATATGCTTATTTTGAATCCTTCTGGCCCTACATTTTGCTTTCTGACTGATCAGGCTGATTATGATATCATTTTTGTCAATACTTTGTTCTTTTCTTGTTTGTTCTAGGATTCTCTTAGTCACTTTGAGTTTCTTGCATTATTCTCTGGATCTCTTAGGCATATTGATCTACTAGTTGATGACAAAAATTCAGGGTAGATCACTATTGATCCACTAGTTGATGACAAAAGAATGCTTGGTGATTTCTTTTCGTTTTGTCTATAAGCCTTGATTACCCAAATATTTGGTATGTGAGCTGCCTAAATCTTGAAACTATTGAACCACATACTTTCTATACAAAACTCGAGACTCTATTTAATTATGAATTTCTAGTTATCACACGCATTTGGTGTGCTTGACTCTACTAGCTAAGTAAAAACCTATCGGTCAAATTAAGTTATGATCCATATTCATCTTAGGATTATTTGCCCCCTAGTTGAAAAATAAATAAGGTCAGACAGACCCAAAAGTTATTTTTTTATTTAGAACTTTGGTTCCTCGTGACTAATTGTATATATACATAATAAACTTGCAGTCACTAGTTGGTGCATTGTTTGTAATTGTCACAAGAAACAAGATTCAAGCTGGAAAATCTTGGCCTCTTCTCATCCAATTGCCAAATATGGTTGAGACTTTCTAAAAGTTTATTTAATAAAGTTATATAAGTGGCATTGCTGGAAACTAAAATTTAGATCTAGCACCAGGGAGATTGTATATGCTACTAAAAGAAATAAATTTTTATACTCTCACTTTGTCCTGTTTTATTTGACATCATTGACTATATAAACAACCAAAACAACAATAACAATGTCAACGTTCTCGGTGAAATCCAGCAAAATAGAGTGTGAAGAGGGTAGAGTATATGCAGACCTTATCCTTACTTCGTGGAGGTAAAGAGTGTGATCCTCGGGTTAGACTAAAAATGTTAAGTTAATTTTGTGTTATGTTACTAGTTATTTTAGAAGTAAACGTTAAAAGATCAGTTGTAAAGTTAATTTTGGTAATGAAAATATCAATCAAAGTTATCTTGGATAGTTAAATTAATCTGAATTCTTAAAATTTTGTTAATTATGTGTAAACAATATTACTAGTGAAATTAGTTTAAGACACTTTGAAACAAAATAGATTTCGTTTGTGTTATCTAATGTCATATGAAATAAGTTGATAATATCATTTATAGTGACGTGATTAGTATATCTCTTTATCCTTAGTTAGAGATCTCGAAGTTAAGTCATGTGTGAATGAAATCACCTTTACCTCGACTTTTCGACAGGAATTTGATCAAAGAAAAATAGCTGATAAAGAAATTGTGTGTCTATGACTTGTCAAATCCAATCCCTTTAGGTCTTCTCCATACCACAACTTTTTTATGTTGTGGAATGTTCTACCTTTTTGAGATATTAGTGACCTCTAAATTAACAGTGGCTTCTCCAACAAAGATATAATTTGTGGATGTCACCATCCACTTAAGGGGAAAACAATTGGAATAATTCACTAACCCCTAATTAGTTTCTAGTTTCTTCTTCTTTCTTTTCCTATGGCCAATTTACATTTTGGCCTTTCAGTTCTAAAATAATCTTCAAGAATCAACTTTTCATATACATATAATCATACTCTTTTTTCAGGGTTCGTTTGATTGGGTATAAATTATTACGAGACTATAATAACGAATTATAGATCAGGTATTTATTCTTTTTCTTCAGATTAAAGATTCTATTGTACCTTTTGATCAAGTAGATCAAGCTTACAAAAAAATAATTATACGTATTGTCTCAATAGAATCATCACAAGAAAATACAATTAACATAACAATCAGCTGAAAAACACTAGCACCCTAGGGTGTTGCTTGCTTTGTCTCAGCTACTTGTTTTGTTTGCTAGGTTGATACAATTTCTTTTCTAAAATAAAAATCTTCAAATAATATATCGAAATTAAATAATAACAAGATTATTTAGTGAATAACAACATTAATAAAATTTTGTTACTACTAGTTTATCTATACATTCCATAAAAATGGAATCGATAACCTAAAATACAATAAAATAAATTACATGTTACAACTTGTTAAAACATATTTATAGGGAATATATATACGTCAAAAATTCAATATTAATTATTACCAATTGGGGTAACATATGCATTTTTTAAAAATGTTTGTCTCAATGACAATAATAAAATATTTCATTTATCCAAAAATATGTCATTACAAAATTTACTGGCTCAATGTCACAGGTCACGGGATAACACATTTTCAGAAAATAAATATTACTATTCTAAAAAATTCACAATATTTATATTCCTTCGAACAATATATCATAGTAATGATAAATGCACCTCTCAATAATTTCCTATTATTCCTTGAAAATTGTGATGCCTACATTGGTTTGATGACCCTCATATTACGGTTATCTGTTTTGAAGATCAATTAATTTGAATTTACAGTATTTTCTATTAAAAATAATTATATTTTTAGGACTTATATTCAAGAATTTTGATTAAGAACAAAGAAACCTCTCCACTAAAATTCTTAAATGAGATTCTACTCTTAGTAAATGTCTTCCATTATGAGATCTACATATGACAACAAAAATTAAAGAGTTAAGATATTGCTTAGTTTTTAAGCATCACATATGAACCATATTATAAAAGATAAAAAGTTCAAAACATATAGCACAACAAAGTTAAATAAATTGTTTTTAAATAAAAAAACAAAACCCCACAATTTAGTAACATTTTTTTTTGGTTTTCCACCCACATTGGGGCTTGATAATTTAGACTCGTAATGGAATGTCTGACTTGGTAAAATAAAAATTTCCTATCAAAAGCGACTTCATTTCCAAATTCAAATCTGAAATCTTTGATTAAAAATGAAAAAAATTATCTCCTTTGATGGTCACAATTAGTAACTAAGGCAACAAGAATTCATGTCCATGTAAAATTAAAGTGAACAAATAAAGTCATTAATCGAAATTCTCACGCGTGATATAAAATTCAGAATACATAATTATATGAGTTTAAATTATATACACCATCAATATTTAAAAAAAAATAAAAATACTTTTTTACTTGTTAAATTAGAAAAGAACTATATCCTCAAATAAAAAAAAGCAAAAGCAAATAATGGACAACTGCTTATATTATATAGTAAAAAGGTTTGTTCAAAAAGCTTATAAATAAAGGACAAAAATTGAGTTAATGTTCCAACAAAAAAAATTTAAAAAAACTTCTCAGACATTGAGTTGTCTTTGCTTCAGACATCCTCTGTAAGTCATCAATAATACAAATTGTTTTTCAAAAATTCTTGATTTTTGGGTTTTCAAGAAAATTGATATTGATTTTTATTTTATTTTATTTTGGAACAGCAATGGCTGATGTTGGTGGAATTTCAGTTTGGGTGATCAATATATGTGTAGTTCTTCTACTCAATCTAATTTCTACTGCATTTGGTAAGTCTACTCATCTTTCCTTTGTGCGGTTTTAACTGAATTCAATGTTTTTCATGTTGCGAAGCTAATACGTACAATAAATATTAATTAAATATCAAAATATAATTCTAAAATTTCAATGGTAAGATTCTACTGATATGAGTTATAGTGGGATGATTGAGAATTGTAATCTTTCTATCTTTCATTTAAGGTCTCGGGCTCAAGTTTTTGATATAGAAAAATTATGTTGGGAGCGTTGCCCCAAAAATGGGCCCTACAATGTGTGAATTAGTCGAACTCTAATAAAAATATTGAACATCGAATGACAAAACAACATTAAGTGGCTTTGGGACCATGTATAGCAAGCAGTGGCGGAGCCAGAAATTTTAATAAGGGGGTTCAAAATCTGAGAAGTAAACACAGAACTAGTGGAAGGGGGTTCGACATCTATTATACATACCTAAAAAATAATTTTAACCATATATAAATAGTAATATTTTTCGCCGATCCGAACCCCCTCATTGCCTCCGTCCCTGATAGCAAGGTGTGATGAAAAATTTCCTCGGGACCGATGTAAAGTTTGGTTTACGGGTTCGGCAAAGCGGATAAACTTTAGTCTAAACTTTGCATTTGCCTTGAGAAATCCATTTAACATATACAAACTAACATGTTTTAAAACCCTATAACTTAACATGGTTAAAATATTGAATCCTAAATTCTCAATTGCCCATTCTTAACTAAACGTCTCGATGGAGTTCGAATCATGTAAATTGAAAACCTCTAATAAGAAGTGCCTCCTCCCTTAAATCAAAGTTAATCGAGGTACTGAATTTCAAATATTAAACAATTAATATAAAAATAAAAAGTATACGCAATATAACCATCCTAGTTTGAAGCTTTGCTTTAATTATTGAAAAATCTTTGACGGATTTGTGATGAGAATATGCTTTTAAAAGAACAAAACATCATGGTCATGCTTTTTAGTTGTCTAAAGTTCTTACGATTTTTATACTATGATTCCAATAATTGCATTATCCGATCATTTTTACTTGTTATAGCAGATAATTTATTTTATTTTTAAGACTAGAAATTACAGTATTTAAGGAGACTTACTTGTAGTTATAGATATTATTACTTGACTGATGTAGAAAAAAAGCTATACTACTATATAACTTTTTTCTCGATAGTGATTTATGCAAATATTCTCTTTTTAGGCTCCAATTTAGATTTATTTTCTATTTTTAAAAGTTGTGCAAAGATAAATCTTAGGAAATTACACTTAACTGAATGTTAGATTCGGATTTCTCAACCTTACAAGCAAAACATTAGACCTTCCTCTAACGATTACATTAACTTATAAAAAAAATTATAGTGGTCTAATATTTTTCAGTTTGCATAAAAAAAAATTAGATCATTGTTTAAAAGATCCATGAGCTGAAAAACAAAATTAAAAAGAGGATCATTAACTAAATAGTTGTCTAAAATAGGGACAACTGGTGAATGCTTTTGTATAAATAACTTTTAAAACAAAAATCAGCTAATTACAAAAACATTTCTATGATAAATACTAATCCACTCATCAATTTGAAATAATTACATATAATATCACTAATTAACAATTTTGTACCATATTTCAAGTCAAATATACCATTCATTCAGACATCAAGTCAGTTATGTATATCAAGGATACAAAATATGAAATACATATACATAGAGAGAGAAGCAAGCTAGAGAGGAGAGAAGCAAGCAAGAGAGTTAGTGTATATCAAATACATGCGAATCACACTAAATACATGTGTCTTTGATACCAAATACATTATGAAATACAAATACATAGAGAGAGACGAGAGAGAGAATTGTGCATCACAAACACATGTGAATCACACTTGAATATATTGTATCTGAAACAAATTACACCTAATTTGACTTGCATATGTCCAAGATACATATATCTAAGTGCGCTAGATACATGTATTTGAAGAAGTTAATGTGATACCGAAGGTAATTTCGAAAACTAAACTGAAGGCACTGTATTAGGCCCTAAACTACTAGAATTTGTGTTATATGCTCCTAACTTTAAACTCTTTTTGGGTTAGGTGATGCTTTGGGAGTCAAATTTGGTTACACAGGCCCAGTAGGCCCAAATGGTTGGGGAAGGTTGAGCCCAACATATTCAGTCTGCTCAAATGGCAAATCACAGTCCCCAATTAACATAATTAGTCATAATTGTGCTGTTAACAAGAAGTTAAAGCCCTTGATTATGCAATATAATCATTCTGAAGTTGCTACTTTGGTTGATAATGGCTTTAATGTTGGGGTTAGTTTTCTTAATCTTTTTTATCCTCCAAATTTACTTTTTGCCAATCACATTACTTACATTAATAATTACCAATATTTGCAGATAAAATATGGTGAAAATGCAGGAAGTTTAATTGTGGATGGTAAAACTTATAACTTTAAACAAATGCATTGGCATTCCCCTTCTGAACATACAATTGATGGCAATCGGTATGATTACTCTTTTCTTTCATTTGTATATTTATTTAATAAAATAATATATATATTTTTTATCATTATAATGAATTAAATGTTTTTTTCTAATTGAAAAAAAAATGTATTATTTATTTAATAATATTTTTTATTTTATTTTTCAGTTATGCAGCAGAGCTTCATCTAGTTCATTTTGCTCAAGACAATACTATAGCAGTTTTATCAATCCTCTTCCATTTGGGCCATCCTGATCCCCTAATGACCAAGGTATTATCACTTTATTTTTAGAGCTCAAACTCGAGACTTCTAATAAGGATGGAAATAAATTTGCCCGGCCCGATCACAACTTTTTGGTGGTACTTGAAATTTAATTATCAATGACGAGACGTTAACCAATGGAGAACGTATTGTTAATGTTATTGGTTCATTCGAACTCAGTAATTTTAGTTCAGATCTCTCTCTCACACACACATATATATAAAATAGACTTCGAACTTGATAAGTAAATCAAATGTGTTGTGTATAATCTTGAATCTATAAATTTAAATTTTAGATTCATTTATCAGTGTCATAGCTTGAAGCACAAGAGGGTTCATATAAATCTCCATCCCCAAAAATTATAATGTCTATACAAAATCTCCTCGACACAACTTAAAAGTTCTTATATGTTTACTTCTTTATAATTTTGGTGTACAAGTCGTCGATTGTATCAAATGTTAACCAAAAAAAAAATAAAAAAATCTTTATATTTTGAATTTCTTTTAACTAAAATTCTGACTCCAATATTGTCATCTATAATGTTGTAATTTTTTATTTTTTTTAATGTTGATCAGCTTCAAAACAAACTGAATGAGCTAGCAAGGGATGTAGCAACACATAAAGAAACACAAGTGCAGCTTGGAATAATTGATACACATGAAATAAGGAAACATTCTCACAAATATTACTCATACACTGGTTCTTTAACAACTCCACCATGCTCTGAAATTGTCTCTTGGTACATTCTTGGCAAGGTATGCAAATCTTTCTCCTTTATTTTCTTGTTGTATTTGAGTTTAATTTGTTGGTTTATATGAATGCTACATGCACGTATCTTGATTAATTTCACGTGTACCTAATGTCTTTGATCAGTACATGCACCAGGTAACCCTGGAATCACCTACTATTTTTGCCTAGGTTGAAATTTGAACCTGAGACCTCATAGTTCTCAACTCACTTCACTGATTACTAAACAACACGTCAACACCAACCGGGATGACAATGGGGCGGAGCGGATGCGGGTGGGGTGGGGTGGGGTGGGGCGGGTTTAAGGCTATGCAGGGCGGGTTTAAGGTTGTGTGGGGCGGGTTGAAGTGGGTTTTTTTAAAACTAATGCGGGGCGGGGTGGGTTGCGGGTATATGTGATTTTATGTGGGTAAACTTAATTTTAATTTTTTACTTGTTACAAGAGTGATAGAGCATTATTAATTAAGATAATTTCTTTAAAGCTACTAAAATTTTCAAGATAGTAAATGAAAATGGTTCAATAAAAAATAATTCAATTTCTTACATGTTTCTCAATTGACCTCTAAAAAATAAAATTGTAAGTCACTATCCTATTAAATTAATACAACTTAATGAAAAAATGAATTTTATTTTTTTATTAAACTTAACTAGAAAAAGAAAATATTAAAAAAATTATGCGGGACCAGGTCATGCGGACCGGGTCTATGCGGGGGGGGGGGAGGTTGAAAATGAAAAAAAATGTTATGTGGGGCAGGCGGGACGGATTAAATTTTTTTACGAATTAAGCTCAACCCGCCTCGCACTGTTTCATTGCCATCCCTAAACACCATTGGGTGCTAATGTCATAACTAGTACTCCCTCCGTTTTAATTTATATATGACGTTGTCTGATTGAGCACAAAAGTAGTATGAGATTTAATAGTTAAATGAAATGATGAATAATTTTTTTTTAAAAATTGTGAATATTATAGGTGAGATCAATATCAAGAGAACAAGTAGAAGAATTGAGAGCTCCATTGGATCCAACATGCAAGAGAAATGCAAGACCAACTCAACCCTTAAATGGAAGACAAATTCAGATGTATGAAGCCCAACCCACCCCTTAATTAAATGGAAGGCAAATAAATGTGTACAAATATTCCCCCATAATAAAAGACTCCTTTGAAAAAAGAAAGTAATATTACGATGATGTGGATGACACATATTGAATCTTGAAAATTGACCTTTGAGTTATAGTAATGAAAATTGTGCAAGCTTGGCTTAAAGGTTTTGAACAGACGAATAATATCACATCTTGTTAAGAATGACGTATTTATTTGATCACTAACATTCTTTCCAAAAGCACTTCTAATAAGTCGCACAATTTGACTAATTGATTCTCCATCTTAAAAATGAAGCAATTAATTTGTTTTCAACTATCTCTAAAGCTTTTCACCTTTCACACTAATTAATCAACCCATTAAAATGTCAAAAGCATGTACGACTAAAATGTTGTCTTTTACTTAGCTGGTTTTTTCTAGGAAACAAGATCTTTTAATCACATATAATAATAATATTAATAGAATATTTTTTATATATACAAATAATTATTTTTTTTATAAAAGACTAGAAAATCATTTCGTTCTATTTTCTAAAAATAATAAATAGACCGTCGTGGAAGCAAACTTCATGTGCAAAGTCCACAATTCTGCCTCGACAGTCAGTATGATTCCTCCCAATTTGCTGTAAACCCATTGTTTAGACTTCTAGTTTTTTCGAATTAATTTCTTTTATAGTTTTGGTATTCAGTAATTCGATTGGTATTCGGGAGTAAAATTTAGAATTATAGTATTAGAGTTTAGATTTGGTATGAGATATTAGTATCATTTGATATTCGGTAATCGGTATTTTCTGAATACCGCATTATTTCCTTAATGAAGATCATATATTAACAGGTTCCTTACTCATTAGTACAAATTCAAAAAGAAAGTTAAAGACTAAACATAATCAACTCACATACATATATCTTTTAGTTGTGTCAAATTGTTTGTTTTTTTTAATTTCTTCTTATTTGTTGATCTTTTATTATATTGTACCTCCGCATAGAAAAATAGAAATAATTGACGCAATAGTATAAACTTTGTAATGCAATCGGTTATAACTTCAATATGGTATTACCGAATTCCACATCCAACCGAAATTTGATTTACCGATTATCAAATTATTGAATCAAATTTTAAAATTTTGATATTTGGTATCTATTTTTAACTAACAATTACCGAATTATCAAACCCGAAATTTAGAAATTCCAAACGAAATACCAAACATCGACTCTATAGAAGACCATGATTACAATAATAACATACCCAACGTAACTCAACAACTAGGGTCTAAAATGATAATATATTGTACACAGATCTTTCATCGTCTACTTCGTAGAAACAATTTTCAATAAATCCTCAATTTAAAAGAAGAGTAACGACTAACAACAATAAAATAATACAAAATAAAAAACAGTACTCAGTATATATTAAAAACGAACAATAACAACAACAAAATAAGACGGTAACCAAACCACAAATTATAAACAAACACAAGTGATAAAGCAAAATAAAAAATTAACAAGAAACTAAATAAAACACCATGATTATTATATAAAGAAAAGTGTAATATTTTCCACCAAAGAAATCCAATATTAGTAGTGGAGTCCTTGTTGTATCAACCATAATATCTCATCTTTGTTTGTATTCACATTTAACAAATAAAATCGCCTCTAGTAAGAGACACATTTTACTCTTTAGTGAACTTTTTAGTATAACTCTTGAATCACCTACTAATTTTGCCTAGGTTGAAATTTGAACCTGAGACCTCATAGTTCTCAACTCACTTAACTGATCACTAAACAACATGTCAACACCATTAGGAATGACAATGGGGAGGAGCGGATGCGGGGTGGGGTGGGGAGGGTTTAAGGCTATGCGGAGCGGGGCGGGTTGCAAGTATATGTGATTTATGTGGGTTTAAACTTAATTTTAATTTTTTACATGTTACAAGAGTGATAGTGCATTATTTATTAAGATAATTTCTTTAAAGCTACTAAAATATTCAAGATAGTAAATGAAAATGGTTTAATAAAAAGTAATTCAATTTCTTATATATGTCCCAATTGACCTCTAAAAAATAAATTTTAAGTCACTATCCTATTAAATTAATATATACAACTTAATGAAAAAATGAATTTATTTTTTGTATCAAACTTAACTAGAAAAAGAAAATATTAAAATAATTTATGTGGGGCGGGTCATCTATGCAGGGCGGGGTGGGGCAGGTTGAAAATGGAAAAAAAAATGTTATGCGGGGAGGATTAAAAACTTTGCTGGTTAAGCTCAACCCGTCCCGCACCGCTTCATTGCCATTCCTAAACACCATTGGGTGCTAATGTCATAACTAGTTCTCCCTCCGTTTTAATTTATATATGACCAGTGGCGTAGCCAGGAATTTAATGAAGGGTGTCCAAACTTTTAATAGTAATTTTTTTTTTAAAAAAAATGACGATTTAAATTACCAAAACAAATAATCAAGTTAAGCAATATTTAATTAAATATAGGAATATTTTTAATAAAATTACAAGTGTATAATTCAAAACTAACATAAAGAAAATAAACTACTATTGAAAACATAATTTAAATATATTATTACAATTGTACTCGACGAGGTTTCATATCCTGAAACGTTTTTATAATAGACTCATTAGAAATAGTACGAAATACTTTCTTTTCTACATAAGGCACTATACAACCGTCTAAAAACTCATCATCCATTCGATTTTGCAAGTCATTTTTAGAGTATTTAAATCAATGCTTTGTTTTTGAGAAGAATGTGACAACATCTCTAATTGATCTACCGTT